TTGGGGTCTGTTGCTGAGATAATTCTTCAGGCGGTTTAGGGTTTATGGTTTCTTGTATACTAGCCCCTGTGAGCGAGATGGGAGTCCACATAGCTACGATTGGGTGGCTTTGGACTGGCGGTTTGAGGTGAGCTTAGCCAGGGGGGACACAGGTAGAAAGGAAACCTGCCAGAACAGACGCCCTAAACCCTAAACCCCTAAGCCCCAAACCCTAAACCCTAAACCCTAAACCCCCAAACCCCAAACCCCAAGCCCTGAACCCAGGAAGCTTTTGACAGGCCCGGCCCGATCCTCCAAGTACGATCGTTTTTTCGCAGCCTTTGGACATAACCACCTAAACCCCGAAGTATGACCAACACAACCCTAATCCGCAAACACTAAACCCAAAACCCAATATAGGCGCCTCATGAATAAATACCTGTACCATTTGGGGTTCCTTGTAATAGCTATAGTATATAATATACCCCCCAAATCCTGTTTGAAATACTACCGCCCCTATATTACACACTCAACCCAGAACCCGAAGCTCCAACCCTCATCCTGTCTACCCAGCACGTCAGAATTTGTGGTGAAACACTCCAAAAGTTTAGGGTTTAGGGTTTGGATGTAGAGTCCCAGACTGGAGAGTCCCAGACTTCGAAGTAAAGCTGAAGACAGCCCTGCATTCGGCTCTACGCGCAGCCCACATTCCACAGCCGACTTCTCACGTACGCTTACGACTCGAAACCCTCAACTCCTGTAGCGCTTGACCACGAGGAGAACTAGAGAGACTCCGAGCTTAAACATCGAAAGCCCCAATTACCTGCAAGCGCCAAGCCTAATGACCTCTATTGTCGGGTACTTGGAGGTTCATGGGTAGTTATAAGTGGGGTCATAAGTCCCCTAATATGTGTTATGATTATAGTTACCGTGTATTAGCCCTAGAGCAGTAGGTTTTTGGCTTCTGAAGTAGACCTTGCACCCTACACCCAAACCCTAAACCCTAGACCCTAAACCCTAAACCACCCTAAACTCTAAACCTAAGCCCCAAAACCACGTTGGAAGCAAGCAGCTGCAAGAGGACTCAACACCGTAAAGATGGCGAACTACTTCGAACCTGATCCTGCAGCTTAGGGTTTCAGGCTTGGGTTTATTTAGTTCAGGGCTTTGGGTTTAGGATTTCGGGTTCAGGGTTTAGGGTTTAGGGTTGAGGGTCTCGGGTTCGGGGTTTACGGTTTAGGGTTCGGGGTTTAGTGTTTAGGGTTTATGGTTCATTCAGGAATCAGTGGTGTGCAATGGGGGCCTTAGTAATTAGTCTGAGGTTGCCCAGAACGGATTTCGGGCTCAGTGGATTTAGGGTCTCGGGCAGTTTATTCAAGGTTTGTGGCCTAGACCCTAAACCCTAAACCCTAAACCCTAAACCCTTAACGAACAGCATGGGGCTCCCCATGATGAGCTAAGGGCTTGGAGTACTCAAGGTTCAGAGGGAGACTTATAGGGTTTAGGGTTTAGGGTTTAGGGTTTAGGGTTTAGGGTTTAGGGTTTAGGGATACTACTACAATCAATCCATTACAAGACCCTAGACCCCAAACCCTAAACCCTAAACCCTAAACCCTACACCCCAAACCCTAAATTACAAGTTGTTCTGTTCCCGGTTGAGGATTTTAGGCTCCGGCTCCCGGTTGAGGGTTTGGGGCTTAGGAAGCTTTACTTGGCTACCCTCAGCCCTAAGCCCTGAAGCCTGCGTGCCAGTGCTCAGCCTCCAGGTATCTAGGATGGAAGCACCCTAAACCCCAAACCCTGAACCTTGAAACCCTAAACCCTAGACCTCCCTATCATACATTGATCTAAACTTTAATGACTTCGTGGTTCAAGGTCAATTCTCCGTGGTTCTAGGCCGAACCCTAAACCCTAAACCCTAAACCCTTAATTTGCCCTGAACCTTCAAGCTGCTAAACCCCGAATCCCTATCAACTAAACCTGCACATCCCTAGCCACTAAACCCTCAAATGCATAGTACTTTACCCTTATGAAAGGACACTAAGAGCAACCCTAATTTGGAGAACTACCCAAAGCCTCAGCCCCCTAGACCCAAAGCCCTAGACCCTAAACCCTAAACCCGGTTGCTGGATTCAAGATTTAGATTTTGGGCGGCCGCAGTCAGCTGTGCTTGGGAACCCCTGCCTAGCTAAGCGGCATGGAGAGGAGAGTTTAGGGTTTAGGGTTT